TCTTTTCTTTATTACCACCTTTTTTTTTTTTTTTTTTACTGCTTTTAGCAACGAACATATTAAGAAACTGTTCTCCACATTTTCACGCTTGTTATTATTGTTTTTTTAGTGTTTCGCTTGCTGTTGCATTTCATTCATTATTATATATTTTTTTCGCAATTCTAGGAACAAGTTTTCAAGAAAACTATGGAAGGTGTGTTATTTTTTTTTTTTCATGAATGCTATTTAAAATGCTAGCTTATTGGTTACTTCTGAGTATTTATTTAAAGTTTTAGATACAGTTCCTTCAAAGTTCACAAGTAGCCCTCCAGTAGAATTCGAAACTGCAAATGAAAGTATAAAGTTAGTGACTATTAAAGCAGATGAAGCAACTGAATCGTTAGAGGAAATGGAACCGGGTAATGAACAGAACTTTCAGCTTTTAGTAGGCAGTTCGTACACATCATGGGATATAGCTGAAACACATCTCAACAATTACGCTAAAGCTGTGGGATTCACTTTACGTCGAAAGCGAGTAGTGACTGATAGTAATGGAAAAGTTCGACGACATATATTTGAGTGTTCATATTCTGGGGAATCAGTTAGCAATCAGGTTATAGATCTTTCTAGGCAGCATGATCGTGCTTCAATAAAGGTTTCATGTTCATGGCACATTAATCTATATAAACAAAAATCATCACCGAATGTAACTATTACAAGTATAGTAGGGGAGCATAACCATCAGTTGCAACCAGATGCCGCCTTATTTGCTCCAAAATATAGAAAACTTTCTTCGGAAATTTTGAAAACAATAGAGTTTTACGTTACAAAAAGCAATATGGGATCCAAACAAATTTTACCTCTTTTAACCACGCAATTCCCTAATCATATAATTTATAAATCTAACCTATATAATGCTGTCCAAAGGTTTAGAAGGCCAATAAATCAACATTACGGTGAAGTACAAAAATTTGTTGAATGTTTGTTACAGCTAAAGAATCAGGATCCTGGTTGGATTGTTCATATTAGAATAGACCCATATGATAATTGGTTGTTAGGAGTGTTTTGGATATCACCATTGCAATAGCAATACTTGATTCGCTATATCGATATTGTCCAAACTGATAATACGTGTCAAACAAATTGGTTCAACATGTATCTTACACTTTTAGTAGTCATTGACAATAACACAAAAACTCGGCTGGTGGCTCAATCATTATCAGATGACGAAACTACTGAATCATACGAGTGGTTTTTTGAATGCCTTATAAATACAACACATAATATATTTCTAGCTGTTTTATTTTTTGACACTGAACCAACTCTTATTAGTGCTGTTGCCTTAAAATTATCTGAAACGCATCATTTTTTATGTGCTTTTCATATTCAAGAAAATATTCGCAAAAATTTAAGAAATAAACTTGGCGGGAATTTTGATGAATTCTATAAAGAATTTTTACATACACGTAATAGTATATTTGAAGAGGATTTTTTAGAAGATGGTCATGTCTATTAAATAAGTATCCTCAAGCACAAGATTATTTCAATAGAGCGTTACAGAGGTGTATAAAATCGTGGGCTCGTTGTTACTAATTAAAAGTTTTTACAGCAGGTATCCAAAGTACCCAACATGTTGAAGTAATGAATAGACTTATTAAAGATGGTATAAGAAGCACCTCCTCTTTGCATAATCTTCATGAACATATACAAAATCTGCTAAACAATGAAGCCAAATGGGCACGATATAATAGCTATTTAAATTCTCTTCCTACCAATCAAGCTCCATCAATAATTGAACCAATATTTTCAAAAATTTTGGAAACATTAAAATTGTACTTGATGCCTCACATATTGGCTGTATAGCAACATCAAATTACTGGTTTCCTTTTATTTCGTGCGCAACTACGACCGAAGGAAAACATTCAAGAATTACAGGTTTAATAATCTATTTTATTGTATTTTAGTCTATTTTACACCCAAGTT